GTTCAGTGGACAAAAAATAAATAAAAAAATAAAGAAATAAATAAATAAAGAAAGAAAGAAAGAAATAAATTAATAATAAAAAAAAACACATTCTTTAATATATCTTCTATTGTGGTCAGCGGACAAAAAAAAAAATGATACAAATTAATAAAAAAAATACACATTCTTCAAAATATCTTCTCTTGTGTTCAGTGGACAAAAAATAAATAAATAAAATAAAGAAAGAAAGAAAGAAAGAAAGAAATAAATAAATTAATAATTAAAAAAAAACACATTCTTTAATATATCTTCTATGGCGGTCAGCGGACAAGAAAAAAAAAACGAAACAAATTAATAAAAAAAATACACATTCTTCAAAATATCTTCTCTTGTGGTCAGTGGACAAAAAAACACATCCTTCAAAATATCTTCTTTTGTGTTCAACAGAAAAAAATAAATAAATAAATAAACAAATTAAAAAATAAACAAAACCAAACTAAAAATATACACATTCTTCAGAATATCTTCTTTTATGTTCAGCGAAAAAAAAAAAAAACGAATAAAAATGACACATTCTACAAAATATCTTCTCTTGTGTTCAACAGACAAAAAAAAAAACTAAACAAAAACAAAACTAAACTAAACTAAAAACATACACATTCTTCAGAATATCTTCTCTTGTGTTCAGTGGACAAAAAATACACATTCTTCAAAATAACTTCTCTTGTGTTCAACAGAGAGACAAAACAAAAGAATAAAAAAATCAAACAAACACATTTTCCAAAATATCTTTTGTGTTCAAGGACAAAAAACCAAAAGAGTAAAACACACATTCTTTAAAAAATATTTTGTATTCAAAAGAGAGACAATACAAAACAGAAAAAACAACAACAACAAAACTGTAATAAACAGGGAGCAAATCGTCATTTTTGAGAGAACTGTTTCTTTAAGTCTAGTATCTCAATGCATCTGTTTTAGTCTTGTCAGTTGTTTTTCTTCTTGTAATTAACTTCAACTTTATTTCCATTGCTGGTAAAAAAGAGGCTGTAATTAACTCATTAGCGTTGCCAGATCTTGCTAGCAAAGAAAATTAAAGTAACTAAAAACAGTGAATAAGAAGATAATAACTAAAAACAGTGAATAAGAAGATAATAAATTGAAACCCAAAATGTATTACTGTTGAAAGATTTCACATACCAAATATTGTAACCTACACCTGCCTACTTTAATAAACTGTATCCCTTAAAATCGGAAGATGCCTAATAGGTGTCATTTATTGTGAGCGGGCATGGCAACACTGGAAGAGTGCGCTCTTTGAAGCAACTTTCAAACATAAACGAAACATGACACTTTGCCCACGGTGGTTTAGTTTAAGCTGACAACCATAACGAGTCTTTGGTCTCTGTAATATTACTTTGGTCGGAAATAGTGAATGCAAACTAGTGAGGAAACTGCAAGAAGTGAGTCATGTTCTCTATATGTACACACATCAGTCATTTGAAACTTTGTATTGCATTTGTGTTTTGGATACAGGGTTTCTGCAAGTTTCATCAAGTCAAATTTAAGTTTAGAATTTTTTTTAATTTTTGTTTTGATGGATTACTGGTGATTGGAGACTTGGATAGATGAAAATTAATACTTGTTTAAAAAATGATTTAAGAGCTACAAGACAATATTTCAGTAAATTCAAGATGTTTTAAGGCCTAAAAATGTGTTAGATAAAATTTAAGACATTTTAAGACCTCGCCAAACCCTGTATATGAGGAGATTTATTTTGTGTTTTACAAAAGCAGCGCTATTTTCTGTTGAAGTGGTGTTTATTCATAATTTATGGGTAAACTATCCCTTTAACCCACATTTTATTGTTTCATTTAGAAAAAAAAAATGCTACTAGTTGCCACAGCCATATCACCCTGCAGCCCAAGACCAGTTACTCACTGAAGCTAACTAAGCAGGGCTGAGCCTGGTCGGGACCTGGATGGGAGGGGGCACATGAAAAAAAAACTAGGTTGCTGTTGGAAGCAATAATTAACTATTTTAGATACGCTGAATTCACAAAAAAAATTCATAAACAAGAATACACAAAAAATCATTAGGTCTTCTTTAACATTACAGTAATGATTCTTAAATTACAGCAGATATCCTTTAAAATTGATAAAGCCCCAAAATTTACCTTTACCACTTTAAAATACAGTATAAACTTTTCTTACCATGGTAATTGCATTTTAAATTATTTTTGTTAGCTCCTCTTGCCATACTACAAACAAAATATTTATAATATTTGCTTTTGCTTCATAGCTTTATTTTTCTTCTTATCGTCCCCACATTGTTGGATGTGATAATAAATGTTTCTATATCAGGTTAAGCAGCTTTTCTGTCATATCTATTTCAAATTTGAAACACAGTTTTGTTCATCATAAGGCTTTCATTTGATAGAAATGTCAAATTGCATAAGAACTGAAAATAATTATATTAAAAAAAAAAACATTCTTAATAGTATTAGGGATAAAAAAGGTAATGAAAATCATGTACAAAGTAATCAAAAACTGAAGTGCCATTGACTAAAAATATTCATCATAAATTACAGAGGACAGTTGTTATTATTTAATACATTTGATTAACCTGCAAAGCAAATTTTACATCCATAAATGAAAATTCACTAATAGGAAAGCTAATTTTATGGTTTTGTTGACTGAAATGTTATTATGTATTACCAGTATCAGAGACTCTTTAAACAAGAAAACCCTTAGCTCTTTAAAGAGCTCCCACTTAGCTGATAACTGATTATAAAGTGTGTTTGGCATGCTGTCCCAGGAGAGAGCCCTGAGCTCATAAGATCCTCAAGCCCAGGGCTCCCTCCCATTTGTAAGGTGAAATGGGAGTTTGAGCTCAGGTAGTTCTTAAGAACTCCCTCGCTTATTTATGCTGATTAAGAGCTCATCAATGGTGCCAATTTGGTTTGGTCAATTCACCTATGCCGCATGTCTTTGGACTGTGGGAGGAAACCGGGGAACCCGGGGGAAACCCACGTGAGCACAGGGAAAACATGTTAATTCCACACAGAAAAATCTACTGGCCAAGTAAGGATTTGAACCAATGACATTCTTGCTGTAAGGCAACAGTGCTAACCACTGGACTACCGTGCCACCCTGTAAAGGAAAAGGAGGGAGGAGTAGGGGTGGAAGGGGGCATTCTTCAAGATGAAGATAACTGAAGAAACTCTGTTCATTTACAGTGAGTTAAGAATCATTCGATTGGTGAATCATGGGTTGCTGATGCAGGACCAGCTGTGGTCAATCATAAGCATGCAATCTTCTTAAAATTTTTTTATAAATAAACTTCATTTTTGTATATACACATTTGTATATTTTACAATGTATTTAATACATTTTTCATTTTTGTACAACTTTTAACGTTATATTTTGTTTATACTTACCTCTCCATGGCATCTATACTTTTTTGACTGTAAAATGTTATAAGCTATTGTTCTATATACACACAATCAGAATTATTAGCCCCCCACTGATTTTAAAAAAAAAATATTTCCCTAATGATGTTTAACAGAGCACAGAAATTTTTACAGTATGTCTGATATATTTTTTTATTTCTGGAGAAAGTCTTATTTTGGCTAGAATCAAAACAATTTTTAATAAAAAAAAAAAAAAAAAAAAATTATGGTCAAAATTATTTGCCACTTTAAGCCATCATTACAACGACTTGCCTAATTACCCTAACCTGTCTACAGTAGTTAACCTAATTAGCCCAGTTAATCCTTTAACTGTCACTTTAAACTGTATAGATGTGTCTTGAAAAACAGCTACTATAACATTATTTACTGTCATCATGGCAAATATAAAATAAATCAGTTATCAGAGATGAGTTATTAAAACTATTATGTTTAGAAATGTGTTGAAAAAAAATCTACTCTCCATTAAACAGAAATTAGGGAAAAAATAAACAGGGGGCTAATAATTCAGGGCGGCTAATAATTCTGACTTCAACTGTATATAAATGATAAATGTCAAGTGTAAAGTTTTACATATTTGTATGCAAGTGTAACTATTATTGTGTATGAACTATATGCTTAATCAGTATCATTTATGACTTCTGCTTTATTTCCACAAAAGAAGTTGCAGGTAGAAAATATGGTAGCGCTTATAACTGTTGCCAGACTTTGCAAGTAATTTTTTTTTTTTTAAATAATACAGTGAATAAGAACATATTACCATGGAAAACCCTATTACAGTAACAGTATTTAGGATAGAAAAGGTAATGGATAATAATTCTAAAGTAATCAAAAAAGTAAGTGGCATTTACTATAAGCATTCATTTTCAACATCAAGTGTATGTACTGTATGTTACTGTATGTACTCAAAGTGAAATTATTGGTATGTGTATGAAATCCGCTATACAAGTACTCATTTGGCACCAATTCAAATGTGTGCTGATTGCTTGTTTTGCTTTGCTTCAAGTTAATTGTATTTTATCCGGCAGTCCATGACTTTAATTCCTGGCCTATTAAACAATGAAAATGGTGTAGCAAATAAGTTTGACTGAATCAAAATGTCACCAACCATTTGCTTTAGTTAAAAATAAATAAATAAATAAAAAATCGAATTAATATAGCACCACTTAAGACTTCCGTTGTAAAGTCAAGTAGTATCCAGAAAGAAAAAAGAAGATCAATATGGAGGTTGAAAGTGAGAGACGTAAATAATAACAGTAATTCAAGAAATGCCACATTTAATTGGACGTGATTCACACATCACACCACCAGGGATGGTTTCTGGTTATTACATCAGCAAGAAAGTCTTAGCTCTCATATGGTGCGAAAAGGCAGATCGTTGAAAGCTGCGAGGGCAAAACTGTTTACCGCAGCGGATGAAATGCTTTTAGTTGTTTTAATGCTTCACTGCATTATTTCAGACGTTTTTCAACACGGCACCCAAAATCTCAGCTCTGACTGAATGCAAACAGTCTGGAAAAGTTTGTACAAGCAAGCTAACAAAAACAACCACCGGTTTTCAATCTCTACTGAACTTTATTGAAGCTGCATCGATGAAAAAATAGGGTTTATATACTTGAAAATAAAACTAGAGTGAAATGTGTAATGCAGGTAACAGGCAGGAGATATAATGTCTTCTGTGTTAGTGGTGGATAAATAAGGCTTAAAGCGTAAGGCTTTTATTCAGACTCCAAATGCATTTCACAGTGACAGTCGTCCTATTGTACTGAGTCTTTTGCATTCTTTTTTTACACTCTTTTACATCCCATAACAACCAGGAACATCTCCATAAATGTATATGCACTTGTTACGTGTCCTTACAAAAAATAAAGTAAATACAGCTTGCTACAGAAATATATTCTGTAACACTTTACTGTTGGTGCTCATAAGACTGTGATGAAACCTTAATAATCATGACATCATCACATGCATGCTTATGACAACTGTCTTCAAGTGTCATTTGGCCAGTTATGTTATTTTAAATGCGAAGGTGATATTGTTCGAGATGTCTTTGTTATGACAACATGACAAACAAATTCATCACAACCTCTTTGTTTTTGTCATGACAACTTGACAAAACAAAGACAAATTAATCACAACCTGTCTTTGCATTTGTTTTGTCATGATATTACCAAAAAAATACGCTCGTCATAACTCTGTCATAAACATGATTGGAATAAAGTCATTACAGTTGTGTTATAAATATTTTTCAGACAACTTTTTTTTTTTTTTTGGAATTGATTCACAAAATATCTCCTTTTGTGTTCAACGAAAAAAAAAAAACACATTCTTCAAAATATCATCATCCCTTAAAGTCTAGTATCTCAATGCATCTGTTTTAGTCTAGTGCAGGGGTCACCAAACTTGGTCCTGGAGGGCCGATGCCCAGCAGATTTTAGCTCCAACCCTAATTAATCACGCCAATCAAGGTCTTACTAGGTATACTTGAAAGACCCAGGCAGGTGTGTTGAGGCAAGTTACAGCTAAACCCTGCAGGATCACCGGCCCTCCAGGACCGAGATTGGTGACCCCTGGTCTAGTCAGTTGTTTTTCTTCTTTTAATTAACCTCAACTTTATTTTCATTGCTGGTAAAAAAATGAGGCCATTACAGTTGTGTTACAAATATTTTTCTGATAACTTTTTCAGTGGAATCGATTTTGTCATTAATATTTGATTTTAGTAAAAGTGTCATTGCTCTGTCAAATTATTTTATAACACTGTCATTAATATTTAATGACATTTAATCAAAAATTTAATTTGTACTACTGTAGTTGAGATCAAAGTTGATATTAATGATGCACTTATAAAATTCATGACATTATAATGGCCTCATGATGATCATGTTTATGACACATTTATATCCAGTTATGATGTCTTGGTGAATATCAAGTTGTCATGGCAAAAACAGACAGGTCATGATGTATTTGTTTAAGTCAAGTAGTCATAAAGTCATCTCAAACAATGCCACTTTTGCATTCAAGATGACACAACTGAACCAATGACACTAAAGGTTTTATGACAGTCTTATAATCCCCTATGCACCCTCTTCAAGTAAAGCTTAACCAAATATTTACTCAAACATTTGCAGTGTATTTATGGTGAAAATAGACTCCTGTTGGATTAAACTGATGCACATTTGGTTCTTCTGATCTCCGGTGAGTGTTGGAGCATTAGCAGCAATACTTTGTGGAAAGGTAAACATTTACATCCATTGATTTTTTTTTTTTTTGTTCATGTACAGTATGTGTTTCTGCTATGAAAATACTTTCAATCAATCAAAACTGTTAAAGACTTGTCAGTAGTTCCTGATATACTAGAAGCATGATTGGGAAAAAAGCAAATAAACAAAAAAGTAATGTTGTCATGCAGTGTATTGTACATACATACAAAAAATACAATTGTTTTATTATTATTATTACAAGAATTGATATCAATGTAAACACTGCTTGGGCCCTTTCCTCTTTTACCCATCACAAAAACGAGGCATTATAAAATGCCATTCCTTCTTATCACTCCTTTCTTAAACGTTGAAGCTGTGTTTGAGGAAGAAAGAAAGTGTTTTTATTTTTTAAATATGGAAGCTCTTTTTGTTTAAAAAGGTTTGGCATCTGCGTTGTGGTCTCACATCTTCTTCTTTACATGCCCTGGATGAACTCCTGCAGCTGTCGCACGATCTCTGTGTCCACCGTCTCCATCAGAGCCTGAAAGCCCTGATCTCCCATCAGCATCTGCTGAGCCTTCAGCTTTTCATAGACAAACTGCTGGAGAGAGACGCTGTGCACCGGGTCCTCAAGAGCCAGCTATACATCAGGAGGAAGAGCAGAAATACACAACCAATGAGCACAGTAAAGCACACTTACTGCTGATATAGTTAGCTCTGGTCTCCCTTTTAATGGTTTACTTGATATAAACACAAATCACATGCTTCTTTTTATGTTTTGTTTACTTCTAGCTGCATTTTTAGATTTATTACTAGATTAGACAAATTTAGCAAGAAAAGTATAGTTTAAATGAGATGGACTATAGTTTCCTTCTCTTGTAATTAAACTTTATTTTAATTATTTCAAGCTAATATTATTATTTCAAGCTATCATGGAATTTCAGGCTAAACACCACATTTATTTTCATATTTTAACACAGGAATTAAGACTACATTTTCTTTCTCTTTCTATTTTCCTTTCTTTCTTTTTTCCTTTCTTTTTCTCTCTCTTTCTTTCTTTCCTTCTTTCTTTCTTTTTCTTTCCTTCTTTCACAATCACAAAGTTTAATAAAGCAGAATATTTTAACCCGTTCACCTTTTTCTGGTTGATTTAATTATCTGTCTGTCTGTCTGTCTGTCTGTCTGTCTGTCTGTCTGTCTGTCTGTCTGTCTGTCTGTCTCTATCCATCCATCCATCCATCCATCCATCCATCCATCCATCCATCCATCCGATAGATTTTTCCTTCATATATATATATATATATATATATATATATATATATATATATATATATATATATATATACATATGAGCAATATCACACGAGTAGCAGTGTGATATGGCTATATATAGGCACTGGTGGGAGGCATGGCTATCAGCCAATCAGATTTGAGAACCAGACAGAACTGTTGTATAAAAATATGTATCCATGTTATTTTCGTTAAAAATTACAATATTTTTATGTAATTTAGCTCTGTTACCTAATTTATTCAAAGGAAACAAAATTTATTAAGTGGCTTTTTGTTTTGTTTTAGAAATGTTCTAAAAACTTTTGAACACTGTTATCTAATTTATTAAAAAATAAAATAAATACCAACACATTTTGACTATTAAAGGTAGGGAAAAGAAGTTTATCAGTATTAAAAATTATTATTTTTCTTCACTAATTAATAATATATATCTATATATATATATCTATCTATCTATCTATATATATATATATATATATATATACACATATATATATATATATATATATATATATATATATATATATATATATATATATATATATATACACACACACACACACACACACACCTTAAATATATGAGTAAACAGTAAATAAAGCACAAAACTACACCTAGAAAACCTAAAACATCATAAATGAATACAGATAAAATTAACTGTTAATATTCTTTATCTATTTATAGCATAATTTTAGTTTGTTTCTGCAAAAACAGCAAACTGCATTTGACATGAACAGAAGAAAAAATAAATAAATCACAAAATAATTAATTTGACCTTTTGATGTAAAAAAAAAAAAAAAACATTTTCCAAGATTAAGTACTTTATTTTCAGATACTATTTGGTGGAATAATAAGAAACAAAGATTTAGTTTTCGAGCCTAAATAAAACTTATGTCAGCTTTGAACTCCTAGCGAGCACTACTGTAGTTGACACTTCATTAAGATGAAATAAACCTAAATTATGGGATGCCGATGTTGAATAAATATTCCATGCAACTATATATATTTTTTAGAAGAAGCCCAGAGTTAGTTTGTAAGTCTGAATGAATTACTGCAATGTTATGATGTGGAACTGCAATGAAACAATAAATCACTTAAAGCTGTCACAATCATACCGAGATAAAAAATAAAAGTAAAAACACAAGATGCAGCCTTACAAACGCTCAAAATAACATATTTTCTGACTGGAAAAACAAGGTGAAACAATGATGACAACAGCAAAAAATGTCTTAAAACAGCAAATAATAACAAGAACATCAACAATAAATGTATTAAATAAACAGTTAACACAAGGAGTGCAGATATAAAGTCACAAATGATGCTGAAACATCATCATAAATATATAATCACTACATAATCCAAATGTATTTAATATTTAATAGAATTCTGTATCTCTCCATGAATCTGAAACCAAATGTTTTGGTGCTAAAGCAAATGCACTGATCAGAGCTCAGATCACTTTTGACTTACAGTAACAAATGAAGACAGAGATGAACATAAAAGACTGTTTTCCTCACAGTATTTCAGTGCTGAGAGCTGCACTAAAACAAAGGCCTGACATCTCCACCCTCATTAAGATGAATACATTAATATAGTTTGCTTTCCATTGCACAGTCATAGGAGTGTTGTGCTATACTTCTGTCATATTTGCGGAAACACAATACATGATTAACGTTTATTGATAAAGTGCTTTAAACTGCACTGTGAGACAAAAGCTGTTTGACAAAACAAATGTTCTTTCCTGCACTTGATTTGAATGTTCATTACTATCACTTTTTAAAAATAAAAAAGTTTGAAAAAAGTTTTTATTTATTAGGTGCTGCGATTTAATCATTGAAACTAGGGCTGCACAATATATAGTTTCAGCATCAATATCGCAATGTGCGCATCCACAATAGTCACATCGCAAAGATATTCAATGTCCAGTCTGAATTATAGTTGACTGGGAGCTTCAGAATTGTATTTAGTCACTGTATTTATATTGGATTTATATGATTTATGCATAAATAAATAAACACATTCCTTACTGGGAATTTTTGTCTGGTTTGTAGTCCAAATATCTACATTTTAAAGAGAAAACAAGATTATTTCACCTATCCAACTGTCAGATAATTTCATTAAAACTAGAAAAAACATCTTATTTTTCACTTATTTCTTCTGAAGGTAAAAACTAAACCATATTTTCACTTGGTCTAAAAATTGTTTTGATATTTGGACTACAAACAAGATATAAATTAAGAAAGGCATTTTTTTTCCTTCATTTTATTATTCAATTTCTGTACTTGAATACTGTTAAAACTCTCCAGAAAACAGTCAAATAAAACTGTATTCATATCGCAAAATATTTATCGCAGAAAATTTTTTTTTTTCCAATATCATGCAGTCTTATTTGAAACAATCTAACATTCTAACTAAAACATTCTGCTACCTAAAAATTATTCAGTTCTTCAATATATATATATATATATATATATATATATATTGAAGAACTGAATAATTTTTAGGTAGCAGAATGTTTTAGTTAGAATGTTATATATATATATATATATATAATTTTATATTATATATATATATATAATTTTAAGCTAAACATTGACCTTTTTAATGATTTTTAAAAAAGCATCATGCTTTAAAGAGTAAAGTCTGTCAAGGTCACTGCATTGCTGCACTCATACAGGCAAACTACAGCTATCTATAGTATAATGCAGAACATAAATTATTCTCTGCTAATGAGGGGGGAGGGACATCAAAAGAATGAAACAGAGAGCTGGAATTAGCATAGCTGCATACATTAACCTGATGCTTCATTCTCTACTATCTGTCAAATGCCTTAAAACATCAAAATAAATGCAACATTATAGGGAGCACACTTTGCAGGATGTCATTTCAGCCATCTCCTTGACAGCTGTTGATTGAAGTACACATCGAGTAAAACTCAACAGCAATGTTGTGGTTATAAATATACATCAAAAGCTCGTTAATACATTATACGTTTATTTAAAAACCATTAAATGTGTGATGGAGCGTACATCTGTCAATGTGATGAGGATTAACAATGCCAGCTGTGATTTTTTTGCTGTGATTATACTTATAATTCACACTAAATTAACTCTAGCAGCTACCCTGCGGCATATGAGAAATAAAAGAGGAAAAAAGTCATTCTGCAGTACTTTCGGATTTAATGATTTCAAATGCCACCATCTGCAAACTGTAATATTCTCCAAAAAGGTTAAATATGACAAATGTCTAACACACACTCTCTCTCTACATGATATTGGTGTAAAACATAAGACTCAACATTTACCCTCGCTAAGACATTTGCACAGAAAGCTTACTACCAGTATTCAGATCTTCCCCCTAAGACATTTGATCAGATCAATTAATCTGATTCTTGACCTGCAATGGCCAAAGCAAAGGTGCCTTAATGTGAAAATATCTGACCAACCACCAGATTAGAAACATGTTGCCCCCTTTGAGGCTATGTTAACATGACAATGAGGTAATGAAATAAAAATTTTCTCTTGCATTATAATAAATTTTCAAGTTTACATGTTGCTTTTACACATTAGTAAAATGACCAAAAATGTTTGCAAGGACAGTATTTGGTGCTACCACCTTGTTAGTAGACAGTACCTGTAGGCATGTGCTGTTGATGACTTGGTGCTAGTGTGTATGTTTAATTTGCCATGTGTTTAATAGTGCTTTCACACTAGCACTTTTGATCTGCACCCGGGTTTGTTTGACATCAGTAAGATACATTTAGCTAGTGTGAAGGTATCTTCTGAACTTCAAAGAGGTGGGCTGCATCCGAAACCGCATGCTTCCATACTATATAGTACGCTAAAATCAGTATGTGAGCCGAGTAGTATGTCCGAATTCATAGAATTTGAAAATCAGTAAGCGAGAAGTACCTTGACTTACTACTTCCGGCGAGATTCTGGAGTGCGCATCCCATGCATGCTGCGCTATCCCATCATGCCCCGCGAGCGAATTCATAAATGGGAGTAAAGCGACGCAATTGGTGCAGGTAGGTCGCATGACCATGACAAAATGGCGGATGTAGTACAGTACGTCAGAATTCCATTTATACTTTTCACGTTCATACTGTATAGAACGTACTTTTCTAACTGCCGAGTAGTACGTTTAAATTCAAATGCAGTACTGAGTAGTAGGCGGTTTCGGACGCAGCCGTGGTCTGGGGTACAGTTCACTCGAACTCTGGTCCAGTTAACTTCTGGTACAAATGCGATCGTACCAAATAACGGAAGTGAACCGACAACTGTACAACAAACTAATGTTTTCATAACATTCATTTGTGTGTGTGTGTGTGTGTCTGTCCATCATGTACTG